TCATTGAGATGAAAGGAGCTAAAACAGTTCTTATGCTGATCGTAAGGGCATAGAATATGAAAAGCTCCCAAGCTTAAAATAAAGAGCTTACTACGCAATCACTGCGGGATTCAAATGTGACACACGATGGAGCGATTCTACTGGTTCCCAAAACCATAGCCACATTACGTATTTTTCACCACGACTTGTTACACAGCAATAGTGAAGCTTCTCAATGCCTCTCAAACTAGAATGCCTGTCGATTTCGATCTTTTCGATATAGGCAGAGGTTCAACTAGTTCTTTATATCCTTCAACATGCGCTACGAATTATCTCGTGTTGTATTTATCTCAATAGATATGTTTCTAAAGTTATAAAACGTAACATATAATAAATCAATGAGTATTCAAATGAAAAGCTAGTCAGCGGAGGCCTCTTGCATTTCATATCCAACATTCACATTTAATCATTCTGGGGAATACAGACAGCATTCTAAAGGCATATAAGCCCCTTATGAAAATGAAATACAGTGAAGTGCAAAAGTCTTTGACCTCCATGATTCAAATTCTTTTTCACATGAATACGATGAATAGGAAAATTAAATATGTTGACAAATAAAGCGTAGTACAAAGTACAAAAGTATTACAATTAAGGTGTGGATGTGAGTATGGGTGGTGGTGGGTAGCAGCAGCTTTTACAGATACATTGTAATTGCCGCCAAGAGATGTTTTTACAACAACGATATTCAAGATTTTAAACTCTTTATGGCCTCAGCTTGACAATAGAAATGCGTTGACCATTGTCTCACCAAGAATTTAGGCCAAACAGAATAGTGTGGCATAGGACAGAAATTAGCAATACCACGACGTTAGCCGCACGAAACATCGCATTTTATCTTCTGCAGAAAATGCAAGTAGAGGCGAATAAAGGTGCATCACCTATACAGAACGAAGCACATTGCCCCAAACTTATACCATTCTAAAAATTTATACTGTAGGAAACCACTTCCACCTGGCCTCATTTCAGAACGGGCAGTGGTATATAAGGTTTCAAGAATTGGACGGTTTCATGTTCACAATAGTTCTGCCTTATACTTTCGCACAAATACGTGGTTGTCTTTAGATAGTTGATTCCATGCACTTACTGGAGTTACCCAAGCATCGAGTTCTTGAATTATGAAAGACGTCTTATCGCATCTTTCACTCTAGGAATAAGTGAATCGCTATACGATAAACGTTACTTGTAGATTCTGATTTTGAGGGAACTGGGAATTCGGTTTTTCAGCTAATGGCTCTTGTTTTGGTATAATCTGGAGGTTTTTTTGAAACTAGAAAGCTTAGATTCGAAGATGAGAAATAAATCAATGTTAGACTGTGTCTTCCTACACACACAGGCTAAGATATGCGGACCGAAACTATAATCCATTGAGATCGGTATGAGTGTCAGCATGAAATACATTTTAAAAGCCATTCGATTTTTGGATCATGGAATTTTAGACGTTTGGAAGTCGAGATTTGCGATTCGTTTTTGAGTGTTAAGTTCATCATGTGTTTGGTTTGAGCACCATAGCATTACACTGTCTAGGACATGTAGACTTTCGGCATTTCGTATGATGAGACTGGCTTTTGGTCAGTCAATACTTGCTTCGGAACATACCTTCAGCTTTCACTTTTGAGACAATGCTGCTTTAATTTCAAGGATTGTAGGGCTTCGAGTTAATGGGATATATCGTTTCGGTTCTCTAGGATCAAACTATAAGCTGTTTTGGATAAAACTGTTTTAGTTTCGAAGAGAAGGCAGCTTCGATAGTGACTGAGCACTGACAGCTAGGAACTCACATATGAATTCTCTAATAGTCCTTCAATTGCCAAAAAGCGAACTGGCTCAACAAACGATATATTCCAGAAACAGAAATCTACTAAAGTCATTTCTATTGTCTGCACTGAACGGCTTTGTGAGGACAGCAATGCCACACTTGAAAGAATTTCACGCTGCTAGGGCATCACTTGCAGGAGATGTCCCATTTTTTCTCAGAAGCTACAGTGATCTCTCGAACGATATGCAATCAGAGATTGACACAAGTGCATCCTCCTCACAAGGTGAGGTATCTTCTCACGAATATCTACAATTACCGAAGTTCGGGATACGCGAAAATGCTCAGTCAATACTTTTGATTCGTGCGTGTCAGCAGCACTATTTGCATAAACTCTTCTTGATTTACAAGCAAAGGATTAATTACTATTTCAGTCTAGGGATGAGTGAATTGGTATCCAATGAATGCTAGTTGTATATATGCAAAGTTCAAATCTCGACATCCTCGAGTTTTTTCATCCTATCACTCAGATGACTCAAACTGAATTTCATGGGATTAAAAACGAATTGTTCGTTTTCCATCATTATTCCCGATTAGAAGAATTCCATCAATTCTTTTTCAAAATCATTGAGTAAAAAAATGTCTATGTTATTAGCAGAGTTGTTATGTTTTCGATTAGCGTCATCATTTTACTTTCTGTTTAAAATTTTGATTGAAAGCTAATCATTCTTTTTGATTATTTTATTTCCTTCGTATGTATGGTCAGAGACGAAGGAAGGTTCCTTCACATTCATTCATGGTAACTGACGAGTTTGATTCAGGATTTTTCGGCATTGAAATTCGAAAAAATCCGCTGTTTTCCTTCTCACTTGTCTACTGGGCGCCACCCTTTTCATGAAAACAATTCATAAATCGGGAGCGTGGGGAACACTTCCTTTGTGCATTTTTATTATTACAGAGAAAAGAAGAAGAATACCCTCCCCATATCATCTACAAAAATCATTGTATTCAGAACCCATCTCTCCAGCACACTGGCAGAGAGAAAGACAAAAGTTGTTCTTTTTGTCGCTCACCACGATGTTCTTGAGCACCTCTTTCTTGCTCTAGTCATCCCGAACATTCCGCCAAATGCCAGATGGACACAGAACGATGTCACTGTCATTGGCGACAATGGACAGGATAGTGGAGTGAATCAGCTCAATAAACCGTACGACCTTTATGTGGATGATGATCAAACTGTCTTCATCGCTGACACATGGAATCATCGTATTGTGGAATGGAAGCCGCGTACTACAAGTGGTCAAGTGGTGGCCGGTGGCAACGGACCAGGAAATCAGCCGAATCAGTTGAACCGTCCAATAGATGTAATTGTCGAGAAAGAGACAGACAGTCTTATCATCTGCAGTCGAGGGAATCAACGAGTGATACGATGGTCTCGTCGAAGTCGAACAAGTGGAGAAACCATCATCGAGAACATTGATTGTTTGAGTTTGACAATGGACGATCAGGGATTTCTCTACATCTCAAATTGGGAGAAGCATGAAGTGAGACGATATTGAGTGGGAGGCAACGGAGCGACACAAGGAAGTGTGATTGTTAGTGGAAATGATCGTGGACAACAAGCAAACCAGTTAATCTATCCCATTGGTTTGTCATTCGATCGACATGGCAATCTGTATGTCGTGGACAGCCAGAATGATCGACTTCAACGATTATCAATCGAACACTAATGAACTTTGTGTATCTTTATTTGTAATTCCCTCCCTCGCACGCAGTACAACAATAAACAGTAAGAACAACCATTCAGTTTTTGAATGTTTTTTTTTCTTTCACAAACGACAACTGACGACGGGAAGGGTGTGGGTGTGGGTGGAAAGAGACAATACCCACACCCACGCCCATACCCTTAAGCTTTACATCATGAGACATGCCGAGTTTATTTTTTAATGAACATTCAATGAGAGAAATGATAAATGTCACGTTCCATCAGTTACCATGTTGTAGTTTCATTGTGTAAAAAGTCAATGTTTCATTTTTTATTATTGTCTGAAATCATTTGATCATTTTGACATAGACTTCAAGAAATAGTGTTAAATCGGATGAGATTTTTATTAGGTCACATCAGGGATAAAGATTTTGTTGTAATTCATATATTGCTAGTTAAAAAAGTGATAAGATAATTTCTGATCCAAAGTTAACCTTTGTCACAAAAATCAAACCACTTTTGATGCTTTGTTGGTTCACATCAATGCCAAACAAAATGTACTTTCTTGACACTGATCGTTGGTAAAATTAAAATAAAATAAAGTAAAATAATAAATCCTAAAATGCTGGAAAAGTTTTACAAACCATGACTTCTATGCAAAGTTCAATTGCATTGCATATATTCTTCAAGAGTCTCTATTCAATTGATATAAACGATTTGCAAATATTTGGAAGTAGTCAGTATGATGTTTCTTATGTGTTTAAAGATGAATCTGAATTAAATTTCTCATTTGAAGAAAATTCAAAGCAGATATATGCATAAAAATTTACGAATATATATGAAATATACAGTTATTTATAAAGCGGTAGAATATCTTGTAAGGCTTAATTAAAGGCTTGTTGCTAGTAGAATTTCAAACATTTTATACTCATTCGATAGCTCTTTCTTTGCTCTATCAAAATCCACAAAAACATTCCTAGTCTCGTTCGATTGAACACAAAAATACAGGCGCATACTGAAAAAAAGAACGAGAAAAAATGTTCATAAAACAGTATGAGAGATTTAGTTTTGACCCTACAATACCTATATATTGGAAGCTGAAAAGAATGTCATATATAGGATTTTGTAGAGCGAAATTCGCTCTATCGAATGAGCTATAAATCGAAAAGATTCTAATAAGTTAAAGGAAAGAAAATGATGAAACACTGGCTAATTAGAGAAAAAAAGTTTTTTTCAAAAAGTCCTTTGAGGGTCTTTCCAATGTTTGCTTCATAACTTTTCGAAAGTACGCCAGAAAATGCTGAAAATTTGGATCTAGAGGTTTTGAATGATGCTCTTTTATTTGGAATCAAAAAATGTAAGGGTCAAATTTTTCGAGAGTATGGCTATTCTCGATGGACTCGTGGACCCTCTCTTAATAATGATTATTTATGTTTGAATTTAATAAAAAACTTTTCCATGCAGTTCAGTTTCAGTCATTGTAAGACTTTAGCTGAAGAAATTTCATGCTACCAGTTCTGCTTCAATTAGACGAATACAATGATCAAGTCCATCTTCGTTTCTCATCAATTCACCAATCTTTTTCGCATTCATTTCATACGTGGTATAGTTATCGCTGATAAGATCACGAATTGCTTTGGTCAAATTTTTCACATTGGTCTGACGTATGGGAATAGGTCTTGGTCCTAACTTATTGATAAATACTCGATCACCGTTAAAAGGTTGATCAGCTGCGAAAGGTAATATTAATGTAGGTAAGCCATATCGAAGGCTTGCATGTGTGGTACCAGCACCACCATGATGAATTGCTGCCGACATATTTGAAAATAACCAGTCATGTGGAATGTTTTGTGTTAAATATAATATATGATCAGTATTGACGAACTGATTCGTGTGTGTCTGTTGAAAGCCAACTAATGATATAACTGCTTTACAATTATTGTTTCCAATAGCCAATCGAATATTATTTAGAAATTCTATTTGTTCATCTTTTCCAAACATGGCACCCATCATTGATCCAAGACCAACATAGATGATCTTTTCGCTTTTCCATTTGTTCAAAAAGTTAAGAAGAGGTACCGACGGTTCAAAATTGTGTTGTCCTTTTTCGAAAATGGGACCAACCATATAATCATTTTCTTGCCAATCGGATGGACGTGAAAGTAAACAGTTCGAATATATTGTTGCACTTACCATTGGTTTGTCAAAAACGGATCGAACCATCTGGTAATAGTTTAGTTTAATCGGTGGTACATTGATGCTGCCACAAAGTTCATTTATTTTATCATTATATATACTACGTGTAGCATATTCATAAATCTTCCATTCGAGTAAATTGATGCAATTGAACACACTTTTACTTTTTCGACCAATACCAGGCGGAGAAAATTCAGCTGTTCATAATAATGGAAAGGTGTAGATTCCGATTGCTTTTATATTCGAATACTTTTCAATACAACTTAAGCCAACAAAGACGGACCCAACTGATAGAACAATCAAATCAGCATCTTTCAAACCAGATAAGATTCCTTTGAACCATTCCTCAACCACTGGTAACAATACACGTTTCAGTAAACCTATTTTACGCAGACTTGGATTTCGTTGTAATTCGATTCCCTCAGGCGTTGCTGAGAGAGTGTCTTCCAAATCACCACCAATTTCAACTGTATCAATATCTGTAGAAGAAGAAAGAATCTCTTGAATTTA